AAGAAGAGGGGGACCACGTGGAGAGTGAAAGAGGTCACTGAAGAAGAGGGGGACCACGTGGAGAGTGAAAGAGGTCACTGTAGAGGAGGGGGACCACGTGGAGAGTGAAAGAGGTCACTGAAGAAGAGGGGGACCACGTGGAGAGTGAAAGAGGTCACTGAAGAAGGGGGGGGACCACCTGGAGAGTGAAAGAGGTCACTGAAGAAGAGGGGGACCATGTGGAGAGTGAAAGGGGTCACTGTAGAGGAGGGGGACCACGTGGAGAGTGAAAGAGGTCACTGAAGAGGAGGGGGACCACGTGGAGACTGGTGGAGGCCACTGGAGGAGAGGACCATGTGGAGGTAGCAGGAGGCCACGGACAAGCCCACCCTCTCTAAGGACAGTGACTGGGTTGGCTCCTGATTCACCCTCATCTCTGCCCAGACCACAAGGGCAGGGAAGCTGGCAACCAGAAGGATGAGGACAGTCTGAGGGCCTGTGAATTCCAGTCTCTTTTTGGATCATCTTTATTTTTAGTTGTAGATGGACACGATACCTTTATTTTATTCATTCATCTTTTCGTGTGATGCTGAGGGTCAAACCCCCTGCCTCCCTCCCACATGCTAGGCGAGTACTCTGCCGTTGAGCTACAACCCCAGCCCCCAAAATATTTCCTGAGAGCTTGGCCTAGCCACCTGCTGCCTAGTGAAGCTGGCACAGGCCAGCGGTCAGCTGAGCCACGGCCGTGAGCGGACCTACAAAACGTGCTGTGGCCACCGACCCTCCAGGGGTTGTCGCACTCAAAGACATCCTCCAGCTTTCAGAGACCCCATGTCTGTCGTCCATTGACCCCAGAAGCCCCCTCTCTCTTCCTATATCCTCCACACACTCTGTGCTCCATCCACAGGGCCCCTGAGACTCCCAGGCCTTGTGCACTACACTTTCGACGGTGCATGTCTAGGACCTGGCACTGTCCTCACACAGCTGGCTTAGTAACAAGCTGCAGGGTACGTGAATGATCCTGCATCCAGGGACCTGAGGGGACAGTTTGAGATCAATCTCACAGTCCTGGCACAACAACATGCCATGAGTGACACAGTGACAGCCATGAGTTAAAAAGCGTCCTCCTGCATAGTGAAGTAGTTCAGCTTGCAAGGAACCTAATTCCTCTTTCACGAAGGAGCTGGGTTTAACCTTATCCCCTGCTGACATCATTTTCACTTATTTCCCTCTCAGTATGCCGACTGAAGAGAGCGATAAGTGGAAGAGGTAGGCAGAAGCTTGAAGAACCGCAGGGGTCCAGGCCACGCCGGAGGGCACCACCCACCTGTCAGCCAGCCCTAGCACACCACATATAAGACAGAGCGCCACACGCATGTGTTGAAATACCACACCACATACTCCTGCAATACATATAGTAGTTACCTGTTAATCAAATAAAACCAAAGAAAGCTCTTATTTTAACTTAATGTATAATTTTAAAATTTCAGTGTTACATAAGGAAATCTACCATCTGACTTTGGATCTATGGAGTAAATAATACATAAATATGATTAGAGCCTTAAAGTTTGCACATTTCTGGGCTTCTCATATCTTTTCTAGAATATTTATGGCTTTCTAAACAATGTTAGTATTATTTTTTAAACAATGTTTAAAAAATAATACTAATATTTCCTTAATAAAAAAAATACTACCATTGGTAAATGGCACTTTGTGATCAATGCCTTGCTTTTGTTCAGGAACATTTACAAAGTGCTTGCTTTAACATTCTAACCAGAAATGTCCATCACTTTAAAATATAGAAACACACTCTATAAATAAAATAGTACTTATTTAGCATTGTGCAATATTTAGTTCTTGCTGGAGTTGTCTATTACTACCCAATAAACCACCCCCAGACTTGACACATTATTATTTTGTCTTTAATATCTGGTCATGGTTGCAATTTTGTTCACTAACTGAACGGCCTATAATAGCTCGCTATTTCCAGTGGTCTTGAGAGTAGTGGGGGCTCTGCAATGGTTCTCATGTAGAGTCTTCCTGGTGGTCACAGTGTGTTGGTGGCCACAGACCTCCTCTGAAGGCTCAGCTAGCCTGGACATCCAAGATGGCAGCTGAAGGGCTGGAAGCTCCTGAGGCCTACTGTGTGCAGTGCCCAGATGGCCACTCCATGGTACTTAGGGTCTGGACAGCATGTAAGGGTGATCCCAAGAAACACAAGAAAAAGGTGTCAGGCTCCTAACTGGCCTGCCCTAGCGTCCAGAATATCACTTCTGCTGCATTCTCCTGGTCAAGTGCATTCTGGCCAGCACAGGTGCACAGGAAGGGAAAACAAGACTCTTGGTGGTGATGAGAGGGCAGCTCATGCATGCGGGAGGGAAGAAGTTGATGGCATCGTCTTGGAGACCAGCTTATCATGTATACTATCTGTTAGGTGGGCACTCCTAGCTCCCTGTCCCCCTAAGAACTTCAGAGTCATGTTGAATGAGAATGTACAGACCATCAAAAAACTGCAGAAAAATCACAGTTGGTGCCTGGGATCTGAACAGCCTATAATAGCTCACTATTTCCAGTGGTCTTGAGAGTAGTGTTCAGTTCCTCACATGGATGCAACTCTACTCTGTTAACCTCAACAGTGAAACAGAATCGAGTTCCACATAAGGCTTCAGCCTCTTGTCCCATGGGGTAAGAACCTTGCCCAATAAAGTGTCAGGACGATAAAATGCACTTTATTTTCAAATTCCACCTCCTACCCTGGCTGTGGAGACCCAGGGGCCAATCACCTCATTATAGAATGCCTGGCCCAGCAGGCCTTACTTCCTAGCACTTGCGTGCCAGAAATGCTCCTGACCAGGGACTGGAGACTTGACTGCTAGTGGCCTCAAGAGAGCCCCCTAGCTCAGAAGCACAGATCATACAGAGAATAAGAGCACAGTAGACTCTGAAGTGGAGTGATGGCCATTACACAGAACTTTCTCAAAGGAGGAAAGAAAGGTGCAAGACAATGATGTCAGGTCCCGAAAAGGAAGGTATTTTTCAAATAGTTTCACTTTCCATTTACAAAAGAAAAGCAGCTTACTGTGATAGAATAAGGCCTGCTTTCATGCAGGTGTATATTCTGAGCCAAATAAAATAGAGTTCTATTCCAAGGCCATTCATCTTACATGAGCCACTGGCAAGGCATGGGAAACTCCCCTCAGACATGGGGGCCCTAGAAACAGTGACATGTGCTGATCTAGACCCAGGTTAAGATGTTTTCAAAGGCAGCAAGAAGCCGCATGCTCTGGCCCCCATAACACAGAAACCCATGAAGTTTAAAAAAAAAAAAATTAAGTTTTCTCCAAAATCATAATGATTTTTTTTAAAAAAGGGTATCAAATTTGTTCTTAATCTCTTTATCAAAATAAATAAACAGGGGTTGGGGTGTGGCTTAGTAGTAGCGCACTTGCCTGGCATGTGTGAGGCACTGGGTTCGATTCTCAGCACATAAATACATAAATAAAATAAAGGTCTATCAACAACTAAAACAATATTTAAACAAACAAACAAAATAAATAAACAGAACTAGTTGAAGTTAAGTATTCAGTCTATGCAGTGTGAAGCCTCCTTCCCTTCCAGGGTTTCTCTCTAAACCCACCGAGTGTTTCCTGTCTCTAAGTGGAGAATGTGGAGGTCCCTAAGGCCCTGCCAGGTTTCCTGGTTCCCTGGGGATGCCTCTCCTCACCACCTGTGTGTACCCTGTCTAAACCTCGCCACCACTGTTCTCAAAGGCGACTCCCATAGCTGCTCCCCAATTTCAAATCTCTGGCCATGTGGTGTGGGTCCCCTTCCACTCACCTGGCCCCATGCCTCCTAGCTGGGTCTGTGTCTCCAGGGCTGCCCTCAGTCCTCACTGGAGAGCAGCCTCAGAGCAAGCATTCTATGACAAAGCTCACCATGTTGCTCTCCTGCTGTAAACCAGACACACTCCCCAGTCCACTCAGCCTCTCCAAACCAAAGACAGCCAGACTGCTCCCCAGGTCCTCACAGCCCCTTCAAACCAAAGGCAGCCAGACTGCCCCCCAGGTCCTCATGGCCCCCCCATCCCTGCCTGTCTCACATGTTAGCACAGCACTGCAAGACGTGGTCACCCTCCAAGATGGCTGCCTGACTCCATCTGCAGGACCTCCCGACCTGAGCTCACAGGGTCATGGTGACTCCTCTGCCTCACTTCCACACCCCCAAAGGGGGAACTCTCCTCCCTCAGCCTTTTGCTTATACCACATTGCGCAATTCAATAGCTTTATTCTTTGGTCAAGTTTTTTTTTTTTTTGGTAGGTTTTCAATTCTACATCAATATACCACCTAAAGCCTTCAGGTATATCCAGCCCCTCTGGATACAGTGTGTCTCAGAGACCATGCATCTCACTGGGTCTCACTGCATGGTGTCCCAAGGAAATGCCACCTGCACTGCTCATTAAATTGAGTCTGAACTGCCTAAGATCAAGGACAGAAAAATTCATGAAAGAAAATTAACAGAATTCAGAACAGCATAAAAGGCTCACTGGTATGCTCCACCCCAGGCAGTCCACTGAATTCTGAGAGAACTGGTCTGGCTCTGTCTACAGTCACAGGCTGCAACGTTGATCACTGGTGATGTCTTTCCTGAAAGTATTACTCACTGGCCAAATGCTGACAGACTCGTCTTCACAAGGATGTCCTGTCACTTGTAAATATTCTGCAAGAAAAAACCTTCATATTTTCTAGTATGAAACTGTAAAGATCTATTTAGTGGTAGTCTGTCACTCATAACTCCCGAAACTGACTCACAATTCAAAGAATCAGACATTTTTGGGGCTGGAAATTTTTCCCCCTTTGGCCTTTCAAAAACACGTATCTATAAATGTCTATCATGAACATAAACAGAATTTCAGTTGCAGCACTTTTTTCTCACATAAAGTCAGACACTTTCCTTTTACTGTGAGCGTGGTTTTACATCATGGATGTTACAGCTGCCATTAGAGAGGCAGGAGCAGTCTTACCCTGGTGTGCGTTCGGATGTGCATCTTCAGCCCATCGTTCTTACTGAATCCTTTGTCACAGTAAGGACACTGATAGGGACGCTCACCTATGGGTAAAGAAAGACTTCAGGTCAGAACAGTGTCAGGGCGGAGCATGCCATGTCCTACTCCCAGTGCCCTGTCCTGCCTCACGAAGGCTCCCACATAGCCTGAGCAGACAAGGCCACCTCCGGGAGGCCCAGTGCCTCAGGACTCACGATAAGCCAGGCCACCTCTGGGAGGTCCAGCACTCCAGCACTCAGGAGGACCCAGGCTGCCTCTGGGAGGCCCAGCACCCCAGCACTCAGGAGGA